TTATTAAATTATAATTACATAATTATGTTATCGAGAGATGTGCAAGATTGCGTTTATATCTGTTGTGTATAAATTATAAACAAACTGCAGATCATAAGCTATATAAATTAACGTTCAATTTACCACAGTAGGAGTAAAAATTAAAAAATAAGTAGATTCGCGCTGGATAAAAAAGTTTGTAAAAAATATTGCTACATTTACAATTGATCCTTAAAATCCAAACAACAAGAATATTTTTATCGATCGTTTTCACTTCGAATCAGATCGATCATTACTGCACTTAAATTAATCTACATATATATATATATATAACGTTGCATTAATAATTCTGAATAATATTGGCAATATTCCATGTTAATTTTCCAATAGTTCGATGTCTTTTCATAAAACACCTTATCGCAGCTGGGATGCAGGAGTTACCTGAAACGTACCCCGGAAAACGCTATAAAATTTATTGGTGGTTTCGCAATGGAGGCTACGCCTTCGGTATTGTTTCGCCTTTATCTTTAAATTGGCTTAGATTATTGCCGCGTTTCGTGCCTGGCATCCGGGCAAAGGTGATCGCCTACAACTACAGACGGTATAATAATGGCGGTGATCGCGTAAAACGGTCGCCACCAAACGATAAGCGGCCAGTTAAATAGCAGTTAAATGCAGGCAATTAACCGTGATGATGATCAAGGACAGGCGCAACGCAACGCGTTTTATTTGCTGAATCATGCGAAACGAGTATCCAATTACACGCCCGCAATAATAATAATCGGCATCGCGCTTTATCGTTCTAGAGTGAGTAACGGTACTCAATGTTATGTAACAAAACGTTACGCTTTGTTACCCGCTTCCAAATATACTTGAATTATTTGTCTAAATATGTAGGATAATTTGCCGTATAGCGACACATGATGACACGTGACTACGCCTTGCATTTTTTATTTAATCAACTATTACATCACCGCGTCTGACCTACATTTAATTCGCATAATAAAAATATTTTTATCGTAAAACTAATTTTGCACGAATTCACGTAAATGTCGCAGTTTTTCCTCAGTGGGCCATAAATCGTCCGAGAAGCGACGTTGCGCGTCACAAAGATCAAATTTAAAATTGATAACTGTTTGATAATGGCCTCGGGCGACGCGATATGTATGCGAGAAGCAGATTACAGGGATGGAAAACGGACGCGATCGTAACGAGAATAGATGGAAAACCAATGGTCGACCTCTTGAGATCGATAAGATGAGAATAAAATGATTGTGTCCTATTGGGACGAGTAAAATTATGAAAAATGTCTATATAATATACATATATAAAACGTGTTTTCTATAAGTTAATCTATGTTTTTTTAAACTTGTTTAAATTGTTTGTTTTTAAAGAATTAATTACTTCTCTAATATCTATTAGGTATGTTTAATTATAAAAATCCTCGGTATTCTAAGAAGCAAATAGACAAATAGTATATAACATACGGCAATAATAAGAAATTGTTAAATTTTATTTATAAACGCATTTAGGGCTCAATTATGCTCTCTGACGTTTCCGTAAACATATTGTAATTGTAATAATTTAATGGACTCAGAGTTAATATCCACCAGCTTTTACATATTATATTATTCTATAATACATCAATGAATTATATGTCGTATTTTCAAGAAATTTCTACAAAAAAATTGAAATAACGAAGACTCCAATTTATATTTCGTATATTATATAATTGTTACATTTGTATAAATTTTAAATACGCGTAGAGAAATATATTAATTTATATGTCATTTATATATCATTGAAGTTTTATAGTTGTTATAAATAAAATCTATGTTAAATAGACATTTTTTCATGTAATCCTCTTAAAATTAATTTCAATTAGACTTTTGTTATTTCTACTTCTGAAGTTTGTCCGCAATAAATCTTTTTTCAGAGATAAATTCTCGATGTGAAATAACTCTGTAACTATCGACATTTTGATGTCCAAATAGCTACCATTCTTTTCAATTTAGTCTCAGTTTTCGACAGGCAAAGGACGATCACTAGAATACTTCGTGTTCGACTTCGTGTGCCGCTGAAAAAAAAATTTATTTCAAGTAGAAACGAAAACTCACAACTTATACTGCATGCACAACATCCACGACAATCTTTATAACTACAAAGATAAAAAATTAGCATTTATATAAAACATTTATTACTCAAAGCTGAATGTCTATACATACGAATATTTTAACGCGTCTCAAAAAATTAACGCTCAAAAATTTTCTGAATTATTCTCAGCGCTGTAAACATTCTACAGTATTCCGACATTCGAGACATTTTTTTATAGTTGAAAAATATGATCGCAAGTTTCGTACAAATTGTATGAAGAAGCCTGGCGAGATCCGGTATCATGGGACCATTAATCTTCGTCTGGCGCCGTCCTTTGCCGTCAGATTAGGATCCTCCTTAGGTTCTCCCTATATCTCTCGCAATGGCGTAACGAAAAGGCAAACATTAAAAGATCTCTCGACGAATATAAGCTCCTCGTAGGATAGTTCATTTAATATTAAAGTTAGTACTATCATCGAGAGATTAAGTCTCAAAATGGATATATTTAACTCTAATTAATATACATATAATTTCGCGCGTCTTGATAATAAATCTTGATAATAAGTCGGGCGAATAATTAATTACTTTCTAGAATATATCTGAATTCGTAATAATATACGCATTTGCCTTCGAAACTTTTTATTCTCTATAACCAGCAATTATAAAAAATTATCGGCTCGTCGAGATCGAATGTGAAGATAAAATACAGATTGAATTATCATAATTACCGCGATATAATCAAAATTAAATTTCGCGAGAACTTTTTACGTTAATTGTATGGCGCTATCGAATCTTCCTCTTCTTCTCATCCCATTTCCGGGAATCTCCGACGTCGGAATGGAAAGTCGACGTGATCTTTTATGCCATTGTTTGCGTGTTACGAAACGAGGTACTCCTTGCCATAGCGAGGTGTAAACGGATAAATTCCGAATTTGCACGCTCGTCTGACGCTTCGTTTAAGTTGTCGAGTGTACCGGCATGCAAGCGTAAAGTTAAAGACGTTATCGGTGATACCGTCGCAGCACGAGAACTCACGAACGCCTGCGAGGGCGTCCTCCTTCGTGACCGCGATACATCGTTATCTCACGGAAGAGTTTAAGAGGACAATCGCGCATGCAGCCTATCTCAAGTTCAGATTTTTAATAAGCATTCTTGAATTCTCAAACGTTCGCACTCCTTGTTGGAAACAATGAGGTACATTAGATAAGCGTATACGTTTCGCGATTTTGCGCAAGTAATACGCGCATTTTGAATTACATATTTTTGATCGAGTATTATATTATTATTCGGATTATAAGAGCATTCAAAGTAGAATTAATCGTTCTTGAGGCTGCAGGAAATAAAAGAAATACGTATATGCGGATTTTAACATTCCCATTACTGTCCGTCCAGAATTTCTGGCGATCTTCAGCAACGAGATATTAATTTCAAGCGTTCCATCCCGTGCATTGTTGACGGCTGCAATGCTGAGTGCATTAGAGCAAAGTGCATCAGGTCCGTTGCGTTATGCCATTATGAGGATTACCAGCGGGAAATACCTCTCCTGTTTTTCTCCGCACCCGCGTAAAATTGTCTGGTTAATTGTATTTCATTGTTACCTCCGCGTGGTTTGTTTGTCCTCGGTGAGCGTGCGTGCACCGAGAAAAATACGCCGATATGCACTACGGAATTGCGCGTTAGCTTTACGTGTCCCGGCTGTAAGCGAGATCAAAAAATCACGAGTGCGCAACATCCACGTGAATCTTTTACCAATTCAATATTTATGTATCTACAGGGTGTACCCTAACTTATTTGACGAAAAGTAGACGCATTTAAATTGAATGACAAATGATATTCCGGTATTTATCAGCATTTCTACATTATTATCAATGAATCCATATTTTTCATTCTACACACATAATACAAAATTATTAATATTTCTTTCACTTTTCCTGCGATTGATAAATTTAGGTAAACTAAAGATGAAATCTGAAAGTATTTCTATACGATTTAAATTTTATGAATTACATTATTAATAATATTAATTAATATATATTTTTAATATTACAGAAATACACAAAAGAAATAGCACAATTTCGTTAAAAAGCAAAAATTTGTTTCTGGATAATTAATTTCCAAAAGCGAATAAGTGTAGTACATGAATGATTCTCTCGGCAGAAACAACAAAAATGGATCGATTAAATGCCTGATACTACATTAATGATTTACATAGTCAGCAGAAGTTATTCATTCAATATTGTTTTCGTTCGGTTGTCAATCGTTTTGCAAATTCGGCGTTTTCCATGTGCAATTGCCCTCATTCCTCGCGATGTTGACAATAATACAAATGCAGTTTAAGAAACGAATTTTGATATTCACGTTGACATCCTATAATATAATATCAGGTTTCTTTTATGTCAATTCCCATATTGTGTGTATCTCGCTGCTTCTTAATATGTAACATTGTCTACAATATTGTTTATTGAAAAATATGTTATAATCATTTTTCCATCAATTTTTTGGAGAGAATTAATAAATATATTAAATAAATTTGTAATTATATACGAAGCTACATGTATAATATTACAAATATTATTGTATGCGTACGTTATATATATATATATATATATATGTACGTTAAACTTTTGAATCTCCTCTTCCTCTTTTTATTTTACTCGCGTATGCTTAGTTTACATGTATATATCAATCTGCTTAAATTTGTTTCGATTATATTTTGTTTATACGAGAATGTATTTCGAGGACACACCGAAACGTGAGATCATTGCATGAGTGAGACCGACTGAAACCATCTCGCTTACGTTATCACCTGTGCATTGCAATCGTAATCGTGCTCAAAACCGATAAACGCCGGAACGAGACATATCAACGTTTAATGATTCTTCGGGACATGGGTTTTGCACAAAAAGATACACAGCCTCCGCATATAAAAAGGCATTCTCGAACGAAAGGAATTAGTTGTGGGCAATTAGCAATTCAGTACAAGCACTGAAGTCGCGCATCTTTACGCAAGACATTGTTTGAGTTTAACTTCTCATCATGACTCGAAGTCATATCGTTTCTGCGGTCTTCCTGATCGCCGTTTCTGCAAGTGTACGTATATATACACCACGTCTTATAACAATATTCTAAAATATACAAACGGATTGCAAATTAAGTTAATATTAAGTTAATTAGTATGCATGTTCCCATAATATATTTAAATTCAATTTATATTGTGTAAAATTATAACATGGTGAACTTTATATTGATTACATGGATTATGAAACTCTATTAATGGAAAGAATATTATAATAATATTCGTATTTAGTCTGCTATATATGTATATAAAGTACATTACTTATATATAGATTTCCTAATTTAATGCTGTACTTGTTAACAATATCTTGCATGATTTATTACAGATGATACAAGGAGCGGTAATACCCGCACAAAACTTTCTCCATGAACAAACTTTTCCCAATTTCGTGGATCTTCTAAGCATGCCCAAGTTTGGCGAATTGTCTCATGGTGTTGCGACATCGGCAGCTAAGGCACTATCAAGTGCTACCAGCGGTGCCAAAACGTACATCGATACCTTCCGCAATGGTTTGAGCCAACATATAACTGTTCCATCTGAATATCCTGTATTGCATCGTTTCGTGCACGGAGAAGTATGGCCGAATTTTGCGGATCGAGTGACGGGAATTGTTCCTGGCCGTGTAATATCGCCATATCCTTCGAGCAATTACGGAGGCGTTAATAGTGGTGCTGCTTCCGCTGCAGCTACAAGTTCTGCTGGATCCGGAGGATCAGCAAGGCAAATAGCTATTTAAGCTTGTAATCCACTTGAAAAAATCGACATTAAACAATGATATTATTTATCAATTAATATGCACAATAGATGCAATAAATTTGTACAATGTCCTTAATATACTTACTGACAGTAAGTTTAATTAAGTACATCGAGATAATAAGATAAAATAATTTCAAGTAACATGTAATTTCAAACTTTTGTTAATTACACAATAGTTATAAGGTACTTGTTTCTTCACATAAAAAAAATAAAATATTGCTTTTTATTAACATACACTGAGGTATTATTAATTCGGCTAAATTATATATGTTATCAATTTTATGCAGCTACAACTTTATACTCCGACACGTCTATCCTTCAAATTTAATTTATTTGCTATTTTTATAACTATAAAAATATATAAAGTTCCTTATAAAGCTTGTAAAATAACTAAATATTCGTTTATTGTGTTAATATGAGATTATATATATCTAACAAAAATAAATATTTCTCGAACACACTATCAACGACAGGTATTTATTGTTTTGGAATTATAAAATAATTTCACTCATTTATTCAGTAAATCGACAAGCTTTGAAGCTTATCTAAGGACAACATTTTATTAACTCCCTCCTACCTACAAAAGTAAATCGTAATTTACGTAATTTTAATGTGCCATGTACGATAAATATTTGTAAACGTATTCTTCTTGCTTGCTTAAATTAATCCTAATCTATATATTTTGCTCCAGCATATGTTGGAAATAAAATTCTAGATTATAGTGAAGAAAAATCGCAAATGCTGGCATGCTATTTTTATAATACTTACAGCGGTTGAAAGGAGTTCAAACTTGAAAGGGACAAACAATTCTAGAATTGCACCGTTAAAAGTTCAAAGTGATTTAACTAGCCTAAACATGTTTACTTAATAAAAGCAGGATGTCGACAATTGAGTTTTTGGTGTAAGATTTACGTTGCTTGTATATTAGATTCATATTAAATTGATTTCTACAATCTACATGCTAATTATACTGTTTACATGCAATCAATTTTGACGAAATATTTCATCATTTTTGCAAATATTTTGCAAAATATTTTGCAAATAATTTAACTTATTGTCACAACGTTGCATAAAGTATACAAGCTATAAAATAAACTTACAGACATATTATGCAGTTTAGTTTTTTTCCACGTACAGAGAATAGATATCGAAGCGTTTTAAATTCTAATTTTCAAAAGTATTGCGACAATTAGGTAGATACTACATATCTTCGAAGGTAACAGATAAAGGAGAGCAATTAACGATTTTCAATGCCAATGAATCATATCATATTTTGCAAGTGAGTCAGCCTCTTTCTGGCACGTGTTCCAATCGTAATTACTTGCGTCGAATATGTGGATTAAATATTTTTATTGTGTTTATTTCTTGTTAAAATTAGAATATAATAGCCTTCCAATAATTAACGTAAACAATTTTTAAGAGATGAAAATAATTGCCGATAAAAAACCATTACAACCGGTAGCTCGATTATCCAAGTAATGATACGTTACGTGTTAACGTGGCAATTGTCACTTTATTAATAAAATTCAAACGCAATTTTGGCAAGTTTCGCTGTTAGCACACCCCCTACAACGCGATTAAATTAATAGTTGAAGAGGATTACGGAATACCGGAAATTTCTATTTAGCAGCGTCGTACCAGGCATCTTTAATTTCAGTAGCTCCCCGATAGCATTATTTCCATATTAAACGGTTCTCCAGAATATTTCTATACTTCGTTGAGCAATATTTTCCATTACAAATTATGCAATGTTTTCATTTAAATAATAAAGACATGTTTTGACATTAGTACTATCGTTTTTATAAAAGTAAAACTAAGTAAGTTTTTTGTTGAAATGAAATAGAAAACCTAAAATGAAATGATTTCATCATCGCTATTATCTACGATGTCCGTTGAACCAACGATGGTCCAGACCACCGATACGAGTCGCAATCACAGTTAAAGCACGTACCGTAGAAATTCAATGTATTATATATTACTTTTACATAGGACATAATACGTAGCTATTCGCAGACATTTTATCTTTCAATACCAAACTAATTGGATATTATCGTATCATTGTAAAGCTGCACAAAAAAAATTAATATAACAAATGATACTAATAACAAATGATAATTAATATATTTTTAATTTGTCTTTCATAAAGTAAGTTTTATGTGTGCATAATAAAACACGATAGATTGTATTCATATTGGCAAAGCATGGCTAAAATTTTTGAAAAAATAATTAGGAACCTGCAACCTCTTTTTTAAATAATTTAATGTGTTTTATATCGCAATAAAATTGCAATATAGATAAATAGACATGAATTACAGATTGTATTGTATATGATTCTATAGTCAGAAAAATTAGCTGGAAAATGATAAATTTAATAATTATACTGTATAAAATTATTGTAATTATTTGAGTTCAAAAGATCAAGTACATAAATGTACTCGTACATTATTTGTATATGTGTGTGATTGTGTAACGTGAAGTATTGTTCATGCAAAATCATGCAAGTAATTTGGACGTATTGCTGAACGCGTAATAAATCAATCTATTTCCAATCGGATCGTATCATTTCGAAAACGTAATCGTATCGAGGGCATTATCGTCGGTTACTATCATTGCACGTTCATTCTCATGTCCCACGTCAGCACGTCGAGTGATTTGAGAACAATATCAACGATGCATCCGTCCCAATGAGAACGGATACAGAGTTGCGTGCATGCGAATTTGCATAACTCGGTTCGTTTCGGACGTGTAGTGCATGGGTAGTCCGACGCTTGGCGTTGTCGTGCGATTTCACGTTATCGTAAAAGAACGACTTGCGACGATAAAAAAAAAGCAGAAATCGTCATGCCGTCGCTATGCATTAATTTATTCCTCGAAAAAAACAATGCTTTTGCATATTTTTGCACTAGGTTTTCAATGGTTATTGAAATCAGATATACGAAAGTGAGTTGAGTTTTATGAAGAATCGAAAGTATATTTACAGCAACTTGCTTTATTTATTATAAATACGACATGATCGGCAGCAACATTATTCAAAAACAGTTCGATGCAACTCGATTCATATTTCACGAGTGACACAAAAACGCATTACCGGCTAGTAGATTAAACTTTTCTCATCAAGCAACGCGGCGACGACTACTTCCGACGTAACAAGCTCCCCTTCGACCACTCGGTTGATGAAGTACAATAAAGTTTGCTCACGCTTACGGACAACTTCGGCTACTGTATTTCCACGGTGACTTTTTCAATCCTCTTTCGCGGATTTTCCACGGATTGCCAGTTGCAGTCTCGCCGATTTTCTCATAAGCAATTCTTTCCATTATAGAGTTTATTTACAAGCAACTTCCAATAATGAGAAAAGCGACAGTGTTAAAATATGTTCCGACTTTTTCTAAAATATTAGTGCAAATATTAAGAAACATTAAGCTTGTATTACTTTCAAATATTATTAATATAATCAAATTTTCTTTTATTGATGAGAAAGTTAAGTTTGAAAATATATTTAATAAATATTTTTTACCATAATTTTACTGCAAGTAATTGTCAGATTGAAAATGACGGTAATTTTCCATCTCTACTCAAGGCACAAGTTCGCCCCTAGGCGTTGTCGCGATATACACGTATATATATATTAACAATTTACAATCAGTGCGACTCAGGATAAATTCGTTTACCCCTAGGCGTTGTCGCAATATTTAAATATTCGAGTCAGTGTAAAAAACTACAATAAACAATTTTTAAGCGAAACTACGCGTGTTGATCTTAACCCATCCCACCGACACACATAACATTAATGATGCTTTTAACTCTGTGGAAGTGTCGAAGTGTCGAGTGAAAATTAATTCATGTAAAAACGAGCTAATAACGTATTATGAAAATCCGAATTTGGCGTTGTTATCTTTATTACTATTTAGAAATATATTGTTTAAAAATACTTTGTTAAAAAAATTAAATAGAAACTTTTAAAAATAAATAAAGTTGACAAAAAAATTAAAAAGAATTATTAAAATTTAATATCTTTAAAACTGATGTGCCATATTTCGAACATATTAAAACCATATAAAATTTTTAAAAACTTCGTAATACATTTCAATAAAAAAAGTTCTAATATTTATTTCTTTGCTCAGAAATAAAGGTATTAAAAAAATATATATATACATATATGTATGTAGTATGTTATATAATTCTTGAATTTTTTTCTGCGCAAAATGCATATGTATTTCTTTATGCACATGTACACATACAAAAGAGTACATTTAACGTAAAAATTATACCATATTATGCGATAACTCAAATATTTTCCAGTAATTAAGCCGTCAAAACTGCATTTATCTTCTACATTTATCCTTACGTAAGATAATAATACATACAATTAGTATGATAGCAATAGTATATATAAGAATCGTTCTGACCCAGTAACAACATACGTCAGTAAATATTTATTTCGTAACGTTTTTGGGCTAGTACTTTTCGCATATATTAAATAGGTAAATATACATATTGTTTCTAAAAAACCAAATAAAATACATATACATTGCTCAAAAAAATTATGGCATAGAAAAATTTTGGGCAAAAATTGGTCAACTTTGACTAACGGTAAGTCTGCGAAAAAGTATTGTAGGATGATAAACTTTTTTTTAAATAAAAGCTTGAAATCTCTACTTTGAGAGTCGATTTTAAATTTAATGCACCTCTGCTACTGTAAACTCTCAAATCTGAGAGCATGTTTGCCATACTAAAAATTGCAAAGTTTGACGGAATGCACGGACTTGCTAAAATTTTTCTCAGGGATGTCATTTGCAGCGTCACAAAGCTTGAATCTTTCTCTTTAATAATAAAAAAAAAAGTCGTTATGATTTTTTTTACAAAATTACAGCATTTTAAAGTAACTCTTGTATTTTTCTCATATATGGTCGGCATTACCCGATGTGCACCATAAGAAAATTGGCGATCGGATTTTGCACATTGTGTGCGTACGGGCGTGTGTATAACATACACGCATACACACAGAGCAAAATTCGATTGCCAACTTTCCTATAGTATACATCGGATAATCCCGACCATACATAAGAAAAATACAAGGGTTACTTTAAATACTGTAACTTTGTGAAAAAAAATCGTAGCAACTTGTTTTTTTTTTTAATTAAAGAGAAAGATTCAAACTTTATGATGCTGCAAACCCGCTACATCCCCGAGAAAAATTTTAGTAGTAAGTCCGTGCATTCCGTCAAACTTTACAATTTTCAGTTGTATGACAAACATGCTCTCAGATTTAAGAGTTTACAGTAGCAAAGGTGCATTAAATTTAAAATCGACCCTTAAAGTAGATTTCAAGCTTTTATTTAAAAAAAAGTTTATCATCCTACGATGCTTTTTCGCGGAGTTACAAATTTGATCAATTTTTGCTCAAAATTTTTTTGAACAGTATATTAACATTTAACATTATTAATATATGACAATTTTGCTATATTTTTTCTTATAGTTATCAATTCGTATCAGAAGAAAATCAAAGGAAAACAAAAAAAGTTTCTTAAAATGGCTTCTTTCAAATATATCGTAAGTTTTTCTTAGTAATTGTTGATATTTAAATGTTACAATTTCTGCAAGTAGTAGCGTCGGATAATACTGTAAAGAAACTACAATTTCTGTCAATCTTTTCAGATCGTATTTTCCTTAGTAATGATGATGTTGGCGTATACTTATGCCAAACCTAGTCGTGAAGAGTCGACTACTCGCCCTGGCGAATCCACTACTAAAGCGCCTGGTGGTAGTGGTGGTCTTGGTGCTTATGCCGAATCCACTACTAAAATGTCTGGTGATAATGGTGGTCTTGGCGAATCCACTACTAAAGCGTCTGGTGGTAGTCGTGGTTTTGATGCTTATGCCGAATCCACTACTAAAGTGTCTGGTGATAATGGCGAATCCACTAGTAAAATGCCTAGTGCTAGACATGGCTAAACTACACAGAATTGATAATAAAATCACATGGAAAAACGTGGTACGTGCTTATTCAGATATCTAATAAACAGATGTTTACAATTAGAAATGCACCAATTACACTAGCCCACAAAATTTGATCTTTTCTTTGCATTACGAATGTGAATAGTCATATATGATGTATTTCTGCTTGCTAAATATAAATCTATTGTCCAAATTTGACAATTTTGTCACAATTTTGAAGAAAATAGCAAAAAACGTAATTTCGAAAACGATGATTTCAAAAATTTTCATGATGTTAAAACATTAATAGTAAATTTTTTTTTTAAATTCCGTCAATGCCACACGAAACAACTTTTAGATTTAAAATGTATTTTGTTTCGATTTGACATAAATTCTCATAATAAATTTTCGAGATTAAAAGGCAATATAAAATTGATAATATACAATACGAGAGAAAGACAGGAAAATTATAATTAGTTTTGTCAGTTTTATATTGCTTTTTAATTTAATATAATCTGATTATTATATGTAAGTACAAAAACACTTACTTTCCACACAATACAGTATTAAGATGAAATAAAATGCCTTTTTCACGGGGGAGAAAAAAGTTATTGTATTTTCAAATTGCTAAATACTAAAAACAAAAAATTACGCCAAAATGAAAGAAAATATATTATAAAAATTGATACTTTTGAGTGGTGTTAACAGAATTTAGAAAAAAAATATTATTATTCATGCACTTATGACACAAAACAAAAGTCAAATTTTGTTGAACAGTATTATTAATGACAATTTATTTTGTAGATGCAGGATCTTCAACAATGGCGTCATATAATTAAACTATGGAATCGTTTAATAATAATAGATTTCCAAGTCTAATTAACAATAAGAGGACGTCATTTTTTGCTTTTAATCTATTCTCTTCTCAATGCACATTTATCAGTATTAAAAATATTTTGCTGCACTAATATTTAACTATAAAATATCAAAATATGATAATTTCTGATTAAATCATGTTTGGTAACTTTACTATGGTGATGGGCTTACTGTAAAAATAAAAGAAAATATTGATGATATCATAACATTATTTTGAATAATTATTTTGTTTCACCTACAATAAAACTATTATAACTAGATTCTAACTCCGTAAATAATAACATTATTTTGAATAATCATTTTGTTTTACTTACAATAAAACTATTATAATTAGATTCTAACTACGTAAATGAAATATACGTCATCAAGAGAGGTGTAATACCTGAACGATACGTTGCATGCACATGCATCATAAATCACTGTAAAATTTATAAGCGGTTTCGCAATAAAGGATATAATCTCGGTTCTATTTCACTGTTACATTTTAATTATTATGTGAGATAAAACTCCCTTAAATTATTGCCACGTTTCAAACCTGACATCTGGGCAAAGGCGATCGCTTACGATTGCACGTGATAATAATGATGACAATCACGTAAAACGGACGGTGCCAAACGATAAGCGGTTAGTTAAATAACAGTTAAATGCAGGCAATTCATATTGACAAAGATAAGCGCAACGAAAGGCGTTTATATGTCGGCGTTAATCACTCAAGTTGGAGTCAGGAGTGACCTTTTATTCATACGGAGAGAATTTTTCCACTCTGTCGTAGAATGAGAATATTTTTAATCGTAATTAAAAGGTAAACCTAATTGCTAGTAAATTCGATGCTCTAACTTTAAATCACTGTAACAGTTCGAAATGGTATATGCGCTAAGCAGAAAAGAAGATCAATAAACAATATTTTTTTCTATTAGTTTCCTTATTTTTATTTATTTCTAGAAATTATAATAAAATTTTTTTTAACAAAGTATTTTTTAACAGCATATTTCTAGAGGGAGAGATGCCAATACGGATTTTTGTGTCACATCCTGATTTTGTTTTTGCGGTTTTCATTATATTCTCGACTTTCTTAATAGCATTTTATTTTGTAATTATAATTTATTTATGATAGTTTTATTATTATATGTGTATGTAACGCGCTCGATCATTGTGGCGAGAATGTCGACACTTTAATATGCAAATCAATAAATAACAATTAAGAATTATAAAACGACGATTGATCAAACGATGTATTGAGACGAAATGTGATATATATGAAATGTTTAAATAAACATACTTATTAAACAAAAAATCCTTTTAATTTTGTATCAAGGAAGCTACTTGTGGAATAAAATAAAATTCAAAACAATGTTATGCTAATCAATCTTTTATTTTACAGTAAGCTATCACCTATTAAAGTTGTGAAACATAATTTAATTTTAAGTGCATAGAAGTTACTATATTTTGAAGTAAAAGTTTAGCAACTGCTTATTTTTAATACTTATAGAATAGCACTGAAGGAAGAATAGTATTTATAATGTCTTTTTTCCTAGTTTAAAGTCCAAATTAGAATAACCAATCCAATAATCCATCGATGCTTGAAAATCTATCACGAAAACTTGGTTGATTGCTGTTTGTCCAATGGTGGAATGTACATTGGATCCGTAGATTGACCTATTTTTTGAGCTGAACAATTCATTTCCGCAAAATTATCATTAATAATTGGTGCGTCTCTTATTGTAAATATGTATGTTTATTAGATATCCGAAAATGCACACATATCATTTACATTACGAGAAGGAGGAGTACTCCAAGGAGGTGTTCGTCCAATGTGCATTTCATCTGCAAAATTGGCATTAATAATTGGTGCATTTCTTATTGGAAATATGTACTTATTAGATATCCAAAAACGCACACATACCACCATACTTTGCTTTGTAGAAGTGATAGTTTGTATCTCATCAGCATAAGTATGGGCTTACATCATTATTATAAAGGCAAATACAAGCTGAAAAGGTTGGCAGAAGTAACTCTTTACAGTATACTCAACATTATTAACTTGCAGAAATTGTAATAATTAAATAACAACAATACCAAATTCTGAATAAAGCTTACAATGTATTTCAAGGAACCCATTTTAAGAGATTTTTTCCCTACTCTTTCCTAATCTGCTTCTGATACAAGAAATACAGAGAAATTGTAATACATAATATGTGTTAAACATTTTGAAAACAATGTGTATATTTACCTAATATAAACTAAGAAGACTGTTAGAGTCGCAACAAGAAAAGAATATTTACTATCGTGTTGCTATCAAAGGTGTGTATATGTATATACTGTTTCTGTCATAATTATATTATTACGTAAGTTCAATAATTAACAATTAAGAGAAAGGAAAATATTCGATATCTAAATTACAAGAAAATTATGTATTGCCACAATAGTTATTTATATGTAATTATGTATTGCCACAGGAAGGCTCTGCTTTATTGTCAATAGTAGGATGTATCCGTTCAACAAATTTCTATTAATTTTTTTAGAAAATTAATCTGTTATTACGTTCATGAAGACAATTTCTTTGGAAAGAGCCAAAACATACAAATCGACCAATTATAATTTTATTATATTTATTAATTTGTTTTAATTTATTTTTGTGCACCAATTACCATGCCGACTCGTAGGTACTCACCGCTTCCACGCTTAATTTTCTGTTCAAATTTTTATATGTATTAATAAACTTTAATATTTTTTTAGTTTTCTTGTTATCTTTATTTTTTTTTTAAATTTGAATCTAATTTCTTTTACGAAACTGTCAGGTTAAACTCAATCATCACTCTACGTCCAATCGAATTAATCTACGCAACATTGCATTAATTCAGAGTAATATTAGCAACGTATCGTGTTCATTTTGGACCTTTTTATAAATATTTTACCACAACTCGAATCAAGAATTATCTGTAATATAATTCAAAAATAGCTGTAAAATTTATAGCCAGTTTTGCAATAGCGGGTATAGCCTTGGTATTATTCCATTGTTATTAAAAATGGCTCATGTTATGCTATTGGCCACGTTTTGAAACTGATGTTCGGGTAAAGGTGACCTCTTACAATTGCACCAATAATGGCAATAATGATGCTAATTATACGTAGAACAGACGCTGCCAAATGATAAAAGGCTAGCTAAAAGCAAGTTAAACGCGGACAATTAACCGCAATGATGACAATGACAAAAATAGATACAAGGCAGCGCGTTTTTTGCTAAATCATGCTAACGCATATTCAACGTAATACTTATTAGCAAGAAAGAAGCCTTATTGTTCAGAAATAAAAATAATTCAATGAATCACCAGTCTCTAAATTTCTAGCAGTATAGTTACACTTATTGGTACATATCCTTACGAAGTTCGATTTTATTAATATAAGATAATGAAAATTTTACAATGCAATTTAATCCCGTGTAAGATAAACAAGATATAAATAAAAAACAAAATCATGTATTGTCACAAAAATTGGGATTTGCTGTTACACTTTCCTTTTCAAAATATATTGTTTAAAAATATTTCGCTAAAAAAACAAGATTAAAATTTCCAGAAATAAATAAAGATAACTAATCGTGAGAAAACTAAATTAAATATTAAAATTGTAAAAATGAAGAAAAGAGGAGCAATCTGCAATGACCTCGATCTTGATATATGTTGTCAAAGTCATGTTTCATGAATAACGTTCAAAAAATATTTTAGGTGTCGGTTACGATTCGTTAAAAACTTATTAACAAAAAAAATGTATGATATATATTGTAAGATTTATAATCAGTTCTAAGTAATTTTTTTACTGATCTTGACGTTCCACATGGATTTTCGATTTTCGCGAAGCAATTTCCATCTCACTTTGTTCCGTGTTTATGGGACGAGACGAGGTCTATATTGTACTGTTCCACGTGGGTGTTTGTCTTTCGATTTCTCATACGAAGCGAGGTCCATCCCACTTTTCTTCCTCTGCTTACGGGGCAAACCGAGGTCTCTAATTGTACTATTTTTTCACTTTGCGTTTGGAAAACACATCGGGGGATGGAGAGTAAATCTCGTTTCGCGTGAAAAGTCGAAAACCCATGTGGAACATCAAGATCAGTCAAAAGTCATTTGGAACTGGCTGTATAAAGCAAGAAATTTATCATTTATCTCATAAACTTTTTTGTTAATAACTTTTTAAAGAATCATGGTCGATGGCTATAATTTTTTGAATGTTCTGGGACATGATCTTGACAACATATGTTAAGGTTAAAGTCATTGAATTTTGTTCCTCTCCATTTCATTTTTATCTTGAAATTTAATAAATTTTAATAACTATGTAATGTTTCGAGAAGAACTTACTCCAATATTTATTTTTTAGTTTGATCAAGCTATAAATTCTAAAAAATATAATAAATTCTAAAAAATATACACTTCTTGAATTTTCTAAACACAATAATACCTTCATTTTATACGTGTACAAAAAGTGTACACATAGAGCAAAAAATTGTCTATTATCGCTGTTGCATTATATATTTTTCTAGTAATTTAGATATCGAACATTACACATTTGCACATATACTTTGCTATTCTTTCGTAAGAGAATGGTATAATTTTGGCTATAGCAATAGGATATATAGTTCTTCCAGTCATACAATAACGACATTCTTTTTTTATTGAGTCTTTGGATCAGCAGTCTTCTTAGGATATATATTAAATAAGTGTGCGTGTGTGTGTGTGCGTGCATATTATTTATAAAAATATTTAACACATATTAATACATTTTGTTCTGCATTTCTCATTGTTATTTCTGGTTTATATCAGAAGAAAATCAAGAAAAGACCAGAAAAGAAATTCCTTAAAATGGCTTCATTGAAATACATCGTAAATTTTATTCAGTAATTGTTATTTAACTAGTACAATTTTTGCAAGTTTAATAACATTGAATGTACGTTAAAAAACTATGATTTCTGTCAACCTTTTAGATTGTATTTTCTTTGATAATGATGACGTTGGCACATGGTTTTTACTTACGATCAGGATTAAAATCGTCCAGGGAACATGATTGGTCTACGACTGCACAAGTTTATGCCGAAACTACGACTGAACAGGTAGCAAAAGGTTGTGGCAAATCTACGACTGAACAGGTTTCTGGGGGATATATACCAGGAGAACGTGGTATGAGCGTTTCCAGATATTTTATAAATAAATATTACTTTAC